GCCACCCTTCCGCCAAGTTACGACCTTCCACCGCTGTTCCATACTTCGCACTCGGACACCGCTCGTACCTTACTCCGAGCCTCCGTCATAGTCCCTACCTCGGACTTTGACTCCACCTCAGCCTTAGTCCATTGCATTGGTGACCTCATACTACGTAAACACCATTGCCAATATTCCTCGGACTTCCAACCCCGCCTCCGTAACCTCCATAAGCTCCACAACCCCGAGCTTCGCGGACCGCCTTCGGCGCTCTCGCCGCCTGTAATGTATTTCTCGCATTTTCCCTTCATCCCTATTTGGACTACTGCTTCTTTCTATTCTAGCCAGTTAGTCATCATCCCCACTTCCCCTCATCCTCCTGCCCCTCTGGGCCTCGCCCTCTCTACCTCCTTTCGGACATATCACAGGTCTTGCCCTATGACCTTCGGTACCGCTCCGCTCCCTCTACCCTTTGTTCCTGTTTGGACATCTTCGTTCCGATTCGGTCACCCTTTGTTCTCTTTGTGCTTTTGCCCCTTCCATTATATATATCAGCGCTTGTACATACTCGTTTTGGTTTAGTCCGAAATTGACCTGAAATGCCCCCAAGAGACTTCCTGCTCACCTACTGTGAAATTAAGGACCAAATGGACAAACAGCAATGGCACAGCGCTCCGCTTGAGTCGCTGAGGCCAAGGTCCCTCCACGCTAAGTCTCCGATTCCACTCCGGAGTCGTCCGTTTCCGCCCCATTCTAACAGGTTCCCACTTCAGGTACATTTATGTACATGCGGCTTGAGTCACATGACGAGTGCCATGTCACCCTCGGAGGCAGCCGCAGGCATCCGGGTATCCCTGTGGGGGATCCTGAGAGCGTCCGCTGCATGCACGCATGCTGGGCACAGCGGGGAGCCATCCGGGGTGTGTGGGCCGGACGGGTCAATAGTACATTGATACAAAGGAAGGTGGTCCATGTAGATAGAAGGAAATAAACAAGAAAAGGAAGATGAGAGGAATGAGATAAAGAAAGGGGAAGAAGGAGAGAAAGGAAAGGGGAGGAGAGACAGAGGAAGGAGGAGGGAGAGGGTTGGACAGCGGGGAGCGGGTGTGGTGTGGCCGGGTGGGTCCGGGTGGACCCGGGTCAGGTGGGTGTGCCCTGACACAGTGATTCTGGCCCAGTATCACTACCCTCAGGGCCAACCTCTCCCACCATCCAACCATTATTCAGATGGAGATAATCCTTCATGGTGACTCTTCGCACCAGGTATTGGAAAAGCACAGTGGTACACATGGAGAGTAATATCCAACCAATGAGTACAGCAGCGTTGAGGCCCAAGTGGTTCTTGGTGTTGAAGATGAGAGTACAGGTTGCTTGACCTACGTTATTGTCTGCAAAGGGCTTATCAGTGATAGGCTGGAGGACTGAAGAGGGGACGATGGTAATTGACGAACCAGGGAAGCGACAGAGTAGCAGGGAAATGTTGATTCGAGGCAATCATAGACGATGTTAATATGATAAAACATTCTTCGCTCCAAAGGGGACTTTAAATGCCAATGAAACTATCGAATAAGCAAAAGACAGAGGGATATAACATAAAGTAGGAACCGCAATTCTCAAGATAAGAAGTTCTTTGATTTTAAGGTATGGTTCGATTGCCTGACGGGCAGGGTAACCTGCCGTGATCTGATATTGATAATTTGTCATGATGAAGATGAAAACATCAATGAAATCGGTAAAGAGAATGGAATGGTCATGAACGATCGGAAAGGCAATGACAATGACCAAAATGAGGAAGGTGGAGATGAATGATTCACTTGTAAGGCCTCAAATTGATCATAGTAAACCCAACTGTGAAGTGAGTTACCGAAAAAAATTGCTGCAATGTCGAAGTGCACATTGCATGCCACCCTCTACCTCTTCATTTCAGTATCGTCGCTACCCTGGCCCATCATGTGAGTAAACACATGTCATAGCTTGGATACCGCTCTGCATGCCCTTCCTCCAGTGGCCCACCCTCCTGTTTGAAGTAGTTGCGTATCTGCAACGCAAGGACGTTCGATCTGACTCTAACCGAACATCTATATCATACTTCCCCTTCCCAGGTGAAATCTGCCAAACAAGGCGAGGGACCACTCTCCATGTGCTTTCTTCTTCCAACATTCAGCAGCAATGGTGCATGCATCCTTCTCATTCTCCTAAGTCATCGTGAATCATGAACATAAGTGTGCTGCATGGGCAGAGATGGCGTTGATTGTGATGGAATTTGAACCAAAGTGGTGGCAATCTCTAGACGGGTGTCTTTTCAAATATTTCAATGACCAAATAATAGGAGCCCAATGCTCTTGTCTTTATCCCCTTGCGCCCGTGTGAATGGCCCAATATCCATGAGCATGCAAGGAAGAGGTCTGGGCGTCACAAGGAAATAATGATGTCAACTCAATAGGTCAAAAGGAGCAATTACATTCATATGCCAAGAATCCAATCCGGGGCCTGATAATAGGATGTATATGCCCCGCAAAATTAAAACCAACGTGGTCATACCACGTAAGTGCTAAATGGAGGCCGGGGATACAAGTCCATCTAAATTGATGAATGCGATCATCCCTCTCTCTCCACCAATGCTGACATGGTTACCGTGTTCCGCGATTGGACAGCTAGGCTTGAAGTAGTCGGGTAGCCAACAGATGTGCAGGGCAAGGTTTTCGCGCTTTATGCAAAGAGCATTATGATCAAGAAAGAGATGGGTGGGTGAAGATTTGCGGAAGGATGTTGAAATTGGGTTGGATAGGTCGCTTAACTTTGGAAAGCTGAAATGTTTTGTCTCTTTCTGACCTCGGACGCGAAGTGTTAAGGCGTCGGTGGAAAATAGCATGTGGTGGGGACGAAAGTTCTCATTGAGCTGTGTCCGCCCGATGTAATGCCTGTCGGCAATGTCCCAGGCACACACTCTGCCATCCTTGGAGGCCGAAACAAGATGACGTCCATCAGGCGAAAATTCCACACAGGATATGGTGTCAACATGACCTTTCGTTGCCTTTAGCCCTTGAGCGGGCAATTCCATCGTTGCATCCCAGACATGTGCAGTGCCATCCCAAGATGCCAAGGCCAGATAACAACCATCTGGCGAAAAATTCACGGAGGAAACCCAACCAGTATGCCCTTTCAGCTCTCGAAGAGGCACTCCTGTTGCCACATCCCAGATGCGCACCATGTTGTCTTCTGAGGCCGAGGCCAAGTGATGGCCATCCGGCGAGAAATCCAAGGACTGGACACGATCAGTATGTCCCTTCAGCTCTTGAAGCAAGACTCCTGTTTCCACATTCCGGACATGTATGGTTCGATTCCACAAGCTGGAGGCCAGATAACATCCATCTGGTGAAAACTTCACAAAATAGACGCCAGAGGGATGTTCCTCCAGTGTTCGAAAAAGCGCTCCTGTCGATGCATCCCAGATATGCACGTTGGTATCATCTGAGGCTAGATAACGCCCATCTGGTGAAAAGGAAACAGAATAGACAATGGCATTATGATCCTTCAATTCCCGGAGGGGCTCCCCTGTTGCTGTATCCCAAACTCGCACAGTGCGATCGTGCGAGGCCGAGGCCAGACGAAGGCCATCAGGGGAAAATGTCACAAAGCTCACCACGTCAGTATGCCCTTTCAGTTCTCGAAGGCATGCTCCCATTACCGCATCCCAGAAACGCACAGTACAATCATCCGATGTGTCATATCCATCCCCAGCCATCGACTTCCGGTCCCTCCGATCCCTCCGTTCCAACTCCGCTCCTCCCTCACTAACCTCGGAGCCCCCGTATTCTGCAATCCTCTCGGCGCCCCTCAATGGTCACCACCCCCTCATTTCAATTTATTACCTATGCCTCCCTAAGTACGGAGCCCCAAAGACTTCCGGACAGCTCCGACGTCCGCTAGCACACCCCTGCCTCCGTTGGGCAATACACTCGCCTGCCCTGCAGAGCCCACCTTCGGGCCTATCCCTCCTTTCCGTTTCTGGGTTATCGCCTGCCTTTCCGCTAACCCCGTGAACCGACTCGTCGGTAATATTCAGTCGGCTAATGGTTAAACCCCGTTAGCTCCGCTCCGTTCGGCTCCGCCAATTGCGGAACCGTCTCCGCTGTAACCATATATATATCCCACTTGTACATAGGTTATGCCCCAGTAGAAAAATCAACTAGAGTTACCCCCCCTAGGTTCTAATTGCCAGTCAGTAAGTTAGGGCACGGACGTGTCACTAGGCACAGCGCTCTTGGCAGAAGTCGCTGAGGCCGAAGCCCTCCGTTACGGAGACATCTCCTCGTCTCAAGTCTGGTCTCTGACACGATGCCGAGGCCAGATGAATGCCATCTGGTGAATATGCAACGGAATTGGCCCCACCAGTATGTCCCTTCATTTCCCGAAGAAGCGCTCTCGTCACCACATCCCAGATCTGCACAACACCATCCCCACAGGCTGAGACTAGATGACAGCCATCTGGAGAAAATACCACAGAGCGGGATCTCCTTGGGCTGTGGATTATCCCCGCTTGCGGTGACCATGGTTGGCTGCTATCCATTCCATGAGAAACAATACGGCATTCAACAGCCCACTTCTTTGGAAATGTTGCATCCAACGCACCACCTGATGGAATAAATGGATGGCTACTTCCAAGGATAGATAAGGACGAGGCCGCCAACGCGTCCCGGGATCGCTCAACCAGATAGTGCAAGCTGCGAATTATGTGGCATACACTGTTGGCGGCTTTGGCATCGAACCCCTGAAAAAGACAGGTGGGCAATGAACCAATAGTAAAATTTTCAACTTACAAGCCATTTTTCTAGTTTTCTCATGCCTTGGCATGCTTGATCAATTTCACTCATGATTCCCATTGCCGCAATTCAGTGGAGAAGCACCGGGACAGCGCCGGAAAGGGCCTTCATTATTTCATCATCGTGGGGCTCATCCAACGTACAAAGGAGAGTGACCCAATGACAACACACAAACTTCAGCTGCGTCGTCATCAGCCTCTCAAACTCAGGTTGGAGATCAGGAATTTCTGCATCTACTTGGAAACGCCATAGCGCTGGCAACTGATCCAGCACTGCACATCGCCCAAGCAGCTCCAATGAGAAAAGCACCATGTCCTTCCCCGGAGAGGGCTTGGAAAATGAATTGAGGTCACTTTTGAGCAAACGTACATGACTGAGGAACGGCGATGCACTGCAAGACCTTCCCGCAGCTGGTGGGGAGATTAGACGGTCCACAACTCCGACAGCGTGATTCACATACAGATGATTCCAAGAGGTTTATGATACTCAATATTGGAGCATCTTCTTGAAGTTGTTCCAACGATGGGATGATCTGAACTAATTCACTGGAAAACAGAAAGTTAACAGGAATTTCGCATAAAGTGCCGTTCAGATTTACTAACTCGGTGAAATCGTTTGAGAAGATCCGTGCGCCTTTAATTCCACAGATTCCATGTAGGTGTTCGTGTAATGTCCGCTGAAATACGGCAAGGAGTGCTTGAGTGGATGTGGAGATTTGGAATTCGTTGGGTGGGGAACCGTGATTAGCGAACTGATGGTTCAAACAGGATCAGTTACAGTGTATGCGGCACGGGGGCCATTCTCTCACATGGTGATGTTTTATAGTATCAAGGACGGACTTCACAGCCATCGTTAGCTTTGAATCTTCCACTGAATCAGCGAATCCGAGAATGGTCTTCGATTTGTTATTAATGTCTTTTCTAATGTGCGGATACATCAGGACTTTAATCCGTTCTCGTCTCTTAGAACCGATTGTGGGATGGTTAAGAGACCCTCTCTCATACTTTGCCCCAAACATCCGCACCAACATTTCCTGGGTGGTGGAGGCGAAAAACCAACAATTTTCCTACATGGAGCTAATGGTCAACCGATGATGACACAGGGTCGGACATCGACGCTTACTTTGGTTAACTTGTAACGAGGAGCTTCCGCTGCAATGGAATACAGAATTTTCGCAGCCGCGATCAAAGGAGCAGGAGTAGGGAAGATCATGACAGCCTCTACGCCGGACTTGGTGTTGGTGAAATCAAGAAGGTGGTCGAGTCTGCCGGAAACAGCAGCCTATCGAGTAGTACCGCCTCTTAGCTGCGGTAAAGACATCAAAGAGTTCGTTGCATACCGTATCTATCGCGCGTGACGTTCCCAAATCCCGTACCCCAAACAACAACAAGGGAACTTGATGGTCCCGTCTGCGATCCAACCGAACGTAGAACTCCCTTCCGTCGGCTCGAGTGACATGCATGATGAGAAATCGATGCGGCACCCCTTGAAGATCGCCATATCGTCGGACGGACACGATCCTGGCATTAGCAGCACGACGACTATTGAATAAGCTCTCGCAGAACGTTCGCACAGAAAAGATCCGATAAGGCTTCGAGTCCAAGCATTCAGCAAAGAAAGCGCCTGCAGACGCAATGCTTGCGACTTTCTTCCTCAAGGATGATGTGAAAGATGCAGAAGATGTAAAAGATGGGGCAATTGTGGATGAAGCATCGGATAAAGTCGACCGGGTAAATGGGACGCCAAGTCGGTCGCGAAGCGATACTGCCGTTGTAGAAGATGTGTTATCGGCCGTGGGAGGCTCGAGTGAGGGTTTGATGCCTTTATCAAGCTTTAAAACTCGGATGAGTGAGAGTTCAAAGCCTTATAAAATTTATTCTTACCTCGAAGAGAAAATCGTCGACCGAGGCTGGTTCTGGAAAAGCGAGAGGCTCGGTGGCTGCCGGGGAAAAGCCTGAAAAAGTCGAGCTCAAAGCGAAGGAGGGGATCGTGTCATGGAAAGATCCTTCGGCAGCTAAACGCTGAGACGGAATAACATGGAGATCGCTTCTGATAAGCAGGTCGAAGGCTTGAACACGAAGTATCTAGAACTCCGCAAATAGCTCACTCACTATCGACGGGTTCGATGGAATTTTCGATGGTATCCCCAGCGGGGGCAGCGACAATGTTTCGGGAGTTCTGATGGCTTGACGTTGTTGCAGTAGGTGTAATAGAGGTCTGGGCCGAGCCTTTGTCCTCCGGAAGAACCAATCTAGGAACGTTCATGTCTCTAGATAGAAGAGATCGAAGGTGTTAGATGACTTGGAAATGGACTAGGCGCTAGGCCTGTCAGCATCGTGACAAGCCATCACCGTTGGGAGCCGCTGCGGAGGAAAAGAGCAAGGCACCAACCTACTGCAGATTATCTTACCGTCCGTCGTCGAGATGTCCGATCCCGTCAGTATTCTCGATATTGATCAGGAATGGTATCAGCAATGTCTATGGGGAAGAGGTGAAGATTCGAGAAGACGCGCGGCAAGGGTGGGGGAGATATTAGGGAAACAACCACGTGGCAGGGAAAGAAGCTCTTCATTTGCTTGTGAAGGTGGGACTTAATCCCATTGTGGAATATTACTGTGTGTACCGAAAAAAGTACAGATGGGCGGCGGAGCACACACCATGACTTCTCAACGGTTTATGAGGACGCCCGAGATATGCGCTTGCATGTAGTTTCCGGGTGCAATCGAGCAAGACATGTATCGGACGGCCATTGGCAAGAGGTTCCCAAATCGAGCATCCCCAGTTGAAGGCAATTGAAGCCACAGCCATTCGTATCGAGGTCCGTCGGCCCTGGACCCAAATAACACCCAACAACTAACCGCATCGATCAGAACCTGACAGTGATACGTTAACTGGAGGATTTGTTGTTCGCACTGAGAACGACATACGGTTGTTAATGTTCTACTTCTTAATTCGTTTCAGTGTCGTCCGTCCTGCTGCTCTGCCCGTGCGGCGTCATGTAAACCTGAGGCATGTCGTAGTTTGGATGCCACTCTTCCTCCTATCTCCACCCTCCCGTTCGAAGCAGATTTGAATCTATATCACACTCCCCCTTGGCAGGTGGAATCTGCCAAACAAGACGACGCAAGGGGCCACTCTCCGTCAGACTCTCCATGTGCTTTCTTTTTCCAACTTTCAAGCATGATTCTCCTTAGTCATCAACTAAGCGTGTACGGAGGCGGCGTGGGATTCGAACTATTAATGTGGCTGTTTCACCTAGAAATGGATCACCTCCTCTCCTGACGTCTTTCCCTACTGAAAGCGGTAGTCGTCCCTTGCGTACCTTGTAGGCGCCCGGCAAGGGCCTAATTGGGCCACGCTGATCAGCTATCCCAAACACTCACCAACATCGGCTCTGACTCGTGGATTACGTCGGAGTAGCATCGGCACTATCGGGGTATGGCTTAGGCAGGATCCCAAGTCACTACACCCTCGGGTGCAAGCATAATGTTTTGGAGTGCAGGGCTAGAAGGGAAAGGGTGCGGTGCATTGGCAGGGTAACTACCTTCCAAAATCGAAACATCGTATTCATCTAAATTCACAGGTTCTGACAGCATGAACTGACCAAACTTTGCAGCACCACAAACAGCGCATATTTTGGTTGAAAGATGATCAGAATCAAGTAAGGTGTGGAAGTTAGAGAGCAGACGTGATTTAGACTCGAGTGTGAGCTTTTCTGGCCAACGTGATGCTCAATTCTTTTTCCACTCAGTGTAAGTGGCTCCGGTTGAATGTGGCGTTGGGGGGGAACAAAAGTCAGCATGTTGCACCAGAATGCGGTGGAGATCAGTCAAACTTGCCATTGAATTGAATGGCAAGTGGAAGAGTGAGAGCAGCCGCCGAAGTACTCGTTCACGGATGTCAACAGACACAATCCATCGTATTAAGCGACCATGGTTAAGGAGTTTTTCGTCATCAGCAGTTAAAGTTGAATTACAATGTGCATGGAACCGCGAGTCGTTGCCAAAATCGCAAGGGGTGTCACTGACAGTATGTTCAAACACGATCGTATGCAAATGTTCACGGGGTGGGTATTTTGAAGTCAGAGTGTCAAGTAAACCATGAAACCGACAAAGCGCAAGCAGTTGAAACCGAGAGAGACGTTCAAGTGATCGCAAGGTTGAGAACCGATTGGGGAATTGTTGGTAGATGTTATTGAAACCTAGCAAAAACTCACGGCAGGCATCGAAAGAGGGGAGCGATTGATTAGGGTCGATAGCATAAAGAGCGATGCACACGGAGTAACAAAGGGCATGCGAAGCATGAGAAGACAGGAGGTACTCAAACAGAGCGCGGCAAAAGAGATCACGCGAAGGATATTGAGAGCGGTGAGCAACACACGCATCTAGACAGCTGGAATAGCAATGAGCACACAGAACGTGGCGTAAGAGCAAAACCCGTTGATCGTTGATCGTCAATGAGAAGTCATACAGGCCGTGAGCTATCGTTTCTTTGGTGAGATGGTAATTGGAAACCCCGTCATTGGTTAGGAAAATTAATGGCCACGAACCGTGAAAAAACGCTAAGTTGGGAGAAGACGACATGGTGTAGTGCAAGAGTACAGAGAAGGGAGTGTGCACTTGGTGTCGAGGGGGAGATCGGATAAGCCAGGTTGTAAAGCACGTGGACATGAACAAGGCGTTCAGCTGTCGGTAAGCGTGATGAGCTAAAATCGTATGTCAGCAAGCTGAGGCAAAAAAGGGGTATAACCGGGGTATAACCAATATTTGTGCATGGCCATTCAGTCTACGCTTCCAAGACCCGCTACAGAGTAGCGGGAATTTGGTTTATTGCACTCTGTGGGTGCATCTTGTGTTCAAGCAAATCAGGAGTTCATATGTGTAGCATGTAGCAAAATCCCGTAACGCCCTTGTAACACACAGCCAAATTCAGTAATGTTTTGCAGCACGCAGCAAAATCTGTGTAACACCTTGTAACACGCAGCAAAATCCCGTAACGCCATGTACAGCGGTTTGAATTTTGATTGTCGCGTGATGCAAAATTGTTTCCGCTGAACTTCAGCGGCTGCAATGGTACACCAAACTTCCTGACCGAATATCTCTTCAACCACATCAGTTATTGACAAACGGATTGTTGCGCTGTGACATACACGTCTGTATCTACCTTCTATCTGAAGCGATTGTTAATACCTTTTAAAATGGATTATCCAATTATCCCCACCTTCCTGACCGATTTTCTCAACAACGGCTGGGAGAAATCGTCCCAAATTTGGTCCCCAAAGAGGTTGGGTGAATATCTAAGTGCTATTTTTTTTTCGAAGTGCTGTGCTTAAATTTGAAAAATTCGCTATTGAGGGTGCGCGCGGAAGTTTAGCGACTGACCCTACTGAATAGAGGTCAGAATGTGGCCAGATATGGAAGTGCCGCATAAGGGAATACTGAATAGCGTCTGTGATGTGATTCAAATGTTTTGTATTGTACATGTAATTATGATGACCAATGCCGGAGTCCAGTTTGCAGAGAGTCGCGCAACAAGTCATTTAGTGTTAACCCATGCGGTCGTTGCACCCAACCCAACCCTGGGAGCTTGAGGAAGCACAGTCAGGGTCGTGGAGTCAATACCTGGGCATGCGGTAAAATTAACAGTTTAAATATTAGTTGTAACTATAACTGTTATTGGTGTGCTGTGGTACAGATGTTATAGCGCGAGTTGAGGCTATGCAGTCTTTTTAGCTGCATGTGTTCGATTCCCGCTTGTTGCAGCTTTTTTTGGGCATTCCCCCATGCAATAATCGCATGCCCAGCATTGAGGAAGTGCAGAGTCAAAGCTGCAGAGTCGATACCTGGGCACAGAGAATGCCAAAAAAAGTTGCAACAAGCGGGAATCGAACACATGCAGCTAAAAAGACTGCATAGCCTCAACTCGCGCTATAACATCTGTACCACAGCACACCAATAACAGTTATAGTTACAACTAATATTTAAACTGTTAATTTTACCGCATGCCCAGGTATTGACTCCACGACCCTGACTGTGCTTCCTCAAGCTCCCGGGGTTGGGTTGGGTGCAACGACCGCATGGGTTAACACTAAATGACTTGTTGCGCGACTCTCTGCAAACTGGACTCCGGCATTGGTCATCATAATTACATGTACAATACAAAACATTTGAATCACATCACAGACGCTATTCAGTATTCCCTTATGCGGCACTTCCATATCTGGCCACATTCTGACCTCTATTCAGTAGGGTCAGTCGCTAAACTTCCGCGCGCACCCTCAATAGCGAATTTTTCAAATTTAAGCACAGCACTTCGAAAAAAAAATAGCACTTAGATATTCACCCAACCTCTTTGGGGACCAAATTTGGGACGATTTCTCCCAGCCGTTGTTGAGAAAATCGGTCAGGAAGGTGGGGATAATTGGATAATCCATTTTAAAAGGTATTAACAATCGCTTCAGATAGAAGGTAGATACAGACGTGTATGTCACAGCGCAACAATCCGTTTGTCAATAACTGATGTGGTTGAAGAGATATTCGGTCAGGAAGTTTGGTGTACCATTGCAGCCGCTGAAGTTCAGCGGAAACAATTTTGCATCACGCGACAATCAAAATTCAAACCGCTGTAACGCATTACAACGAAATCCGACAGGTGAATAGCATGGCACGTGGACTATTCTCTCACATGGTGGTATTTTACAGCGTCGAGGACGGACTTGATAGCCTGCGTCAGCTTTGATTCTGCAATTAAATTGGCATATCTTAGAATTGCCTCCGACGTGTCACTGATTTGCTTTTCAAGGTGTGAATATGCCAGATCTTTAATGCCATCTCGTTTCCCGGCACCGATTTGTGGGATGGTTAAGTGACCCTCTCTCATACACCCCCCTGAAACCCCGCACCAAGACTTCCTGAATGGTGGAAGCAAAAAACCAACAATTTTCCTACACGTAGCTGATGGATCAACTAATGGTGACACAGGGTCGAGAATTGATGCTTACTTTAGTTAGCTTGTAACCAGGAGATTCCGCTGCGATTGCATACAGAATTTGTGCAGCCGCGATCAAAGGAGCAGGAGTAGGGAACACCATGATGGCCTCTACCCCAGACTTCGTATTGGTGTAGTCAAGAAGGTGGTCGAGTCTACCAGAAACAGCAGCCTATCGAGTAGTAGCGCCTCTCAGCTGCGGTACAACCATCAAAGAATTCGTTACATACCGTATCTATCGCGTGCGACGTCCCTAAATCCCGCACCCCAAACAACAAGGGAACTTGGCGGTCCCATCTGCGATCCAACCGAAGGTAGAACTCCCTTCCATCGACTCGAGTGACATGCAGGATGAGAAATCAATGCGGCACCCCTTGAAGATCCCCATATCGCTGAACGGACACAATCCTGGCATCAGCAGCACGACGATTGTTGAATGAACTTTCGCAAAACGTTTGGACAGAAAAAATTCGATATGACCTCGAGTCCAAGCATTCGGCGAAGAAAGCGCCTGCTGATGCAATGCTTACGACTTTCTTCCTCAAGGACGATATAAAAGACGTAGAAGATGCAACAGATGGGGCAATTGTGGATGAGGTATCGGATAAAGTGGGCGTTCAGGAAAATGGGACGCTAAGTCGGTCACGAGGCGATACCGCCGTTGTAGAAGGTGTGTCATCAGGCAGCGGAGGCTTGAGTGAAGGTTCGATGCCTCCATCGAGCTTTAAAAACTCGGATGAGTGAGGGTTCAAGGCATCGTAAAATTTATTCTTACCTCGAAGAGAAAATCATCAACGGAGGGTTCTGGAAAAGCGGAAGGCTGGGTGGCTGCTGGCAAAAAGCCTGGCAAAGTCGAGGTCGAAGCGAAGGAGGGGATCGTGTCATGGAAATATCCTTCAGCGGTGCTACGCTGAGACGGCAATAACATAGAGACCACTTCTGATAAGGAGTTAGAAGGCTGGAACACAAAATACCCAAGGCTCTGCCTCACTATCGATGGGATCAGTGAAATTTTCGATAGCGGTGCCAGCAGCAGCATTCCCGGGATTCTGATGGCCTGACATTGTTGCAGTAGGTGTAATAGAGGTCTGGGCCAGGCTTTCCTCCAGAAGAACCAATGTAGGAACGTAGATAGAAGAGACCGAGGGTGGAAGATGGCTTGGAAATGGAACTGTGCACTAGACCCGTCAACATGCTCGTAACAAGGCCATCACCGTTTGGATCTGCAGCGGAGGAAGCTGCAGATGATACTTTATATATTCATGTATATATTGATTGAGAGTAGGAATGAATAGAGACGTGATAGATGCGCGCATCACAAAGATGCCGTCAAATTGGATGTGTTTATTTACTCGACAAGTTCTCATTTGACGCTGCTTCCTCAGATGGAGGGAGCTTCAGTAGTGATAGTGACCAAGATATCATGTCGCACTCAGGATCCTACAACACATTTCAACCTGGTCAATGTGTTCGAGGCTGAGATCGACAGCTCTGATGGCGGATTTATAATGGAGTGTCTAACCTGCCTTGGGCTGAGCAAGCTAGACACGTGCCGGACTCCATACACTCAGTATGCCCACAGCGCGCAGTTGACTGGACAGCGATGGACAGCTGGCTTGATACTGTATCGAGAAAACACAAGGCCAGACTCCTCTATGTGTCAATCGTTTTCCACCGCCCTGTGTTCTTCCTTACCTCGACAGGGACCAGGGACATGTATTAGAGAAAAGGTCGATGTCCCACTATAGTGGCGCACAGACCTATCAGCCACCTAAGATTGTCCATTGTTCCCGTTTTATTCTTCTTGTTGATAGGCGGCGTTGTGGGCTTAAAAGCCACTCGTCGCGACTGTTTTTTCTCTCTCTCCTCAGTTACACTATCGTGAACTGAGGTGAGATCGTACTTCTTGGTCATATTAGACCGTTTGCTCAACAACGTGTAATTGTCTAGCGCTTATAGATCGCTAGGTGATTCAGAAATAAATTAGTTACACTATCGTGAACTGAGTGCTTATACATCGCTAGTTTTCTCACAACATGACCGGGCCTCCGACAGTAAGCTTTGTCTTTCGCATCGAAGATCTGCCCACCAAGATTATTTTATCAGCAACGCGATCGAAAGAAAGATCCATCATATCGGTGCCCTGAGTCCGGTAAATCGCAAGCATCTGGTCGGGGTTTGCCAGTGATACCGGATCCTGTGCATGAATGCGTCAATTTTCGTGAGGTTGAATTACAGCAAGGTGCAAAAAAATCGACGCGCCCAATTTGGATGAATGTCCGTGCAGGTCATGTGATAGTCATGTGATTATCCACAAATGGCAGAAAATAAATGATGATCGACTTGCAGTTTCCTAAATAGGATTGATCACATGACCTTATCGACCATTCATCCAAATCTGTTGCGCCGTTTGTTTTGCACCTTGCTGTATTAGACATGGCCCAGCGGTATGTCGAAGCCGAATCGCAAAAACCAGTGCAACATTATTCATTGCACTCTGCCCGTTTATTGCACTGGTTCCTACTCCTGATCATTTTTTGTACCTCTGAATCTCGTGGTATTATTTGTTTGGACTTGATCCATTGTAACCCTCGTAAGTGCTATTTCACTCAGATCGATCCACAGACCTTCCTCATCCCACCTCTTCAGAACTCAATGAGAAAAGATCCGCTACCATCAAAAAAGTGTCCCCCATACCATTGGCTGTTTTCGTTCCTTACGCGAAAATAGCTTCATATGGCGGTTTGCGACCAATGCTATACCTCCGGAGTCTCCAGCCTCCATATGGACATGCCAGGGTTAGTTCTCTTCAAAATACCATCAGGATGCCGGATATAATATGGGTTGTTCATTCACAGCAAACCTGCCTAAAACTAGGGAAGGCCTTGGTCGAAGAGGGAGAGAAGCGACTTACACATGCATTAAAACCAATTGTACGTTAAAGTTAAATGTGTTGGAGTATATAATTCCCCGTACGTCTAACATTTGACTGTGTCAGCAACAAGCCTTGGCCCAGGACGAGAATAGAGCTCTTCAAGACTTGAAAGATGTGTTACCGAAAAATGAGGAAGACGAAGCTCGCAACATACCCACTATTTCCCAGGAACGAACTGCCACATCCTTCAGCTCCGAACTGAGACGAGGGCGGACTAGGGCGTGGCGACGCAGCGTGGGTGACTCCCAGGTTGTGAAGGACCAAGTAAATAAATTATTATGACTCCGTTGTTCCATTAATGACCTCCGCCAAGATTGCGACAATAATTGCAGAGATCCACGAAGTTTTCGAAACTCCAGGACTCAGAATTGACAGGCTATGCAGGTGAGTGTCGCCTTTGAACAAGAATGGGCAGTGCTCATCTATGGTTCAGGCGTTTCTGATTGGGGAGATCCTATCTGCCTCAGGCATGCTGGTCGTGTGTGAACCGTTATGTTCTCAGGAAACTCTCGAGGTGCGTTTGGAATTCTTGTCTGTCATCTGTGTTCTCGGTGCTGGTTTCAGGGTGTTCCATGGAGGCCCAAAAGTGCGTACCCCATGATAGACGAATAGCTCAAATCAGCACCGAGAACACAGATGACGGACATGACGTTGGAGAATTCCGAATGCATCAACCTTGCTCCTGTTCACGACTTACTCACAATCTATAAACAACGATCATTCGCAGCTTTTTGGCACTATTCTTGTTCTTGTAATCATTGCTATTTACATGTTTTGGTCTGCTAATGGTTCCAAATTCTTCTTGGCCCGGCTCGCAGTTACAACGACAAAAATTCCTTGCGGTGACCCGGAGTTCATTGAATATCTTGCCAAACCACCCCCGGTTGATGGACGACTTACGGATGAGAGGAAAATGATGATTGCGAGACCTATGGTTGAGTTTGGCTACAACGCAAGGACATCTGAAGGAAAAGTGAAAGTGGAAAAGCTCTTGATCCTTAAAAGACCTTCGACACAAATTGGTGTGGAGTTGTGTCGTATGAGGGTGACTCATCTTCATCTTGTTATTACCGTGCAGCTCATCCTAGTCATCCACAGCACAAAAGATCGTATCATTCACTACGCAGAATCTATCTATCTCACCAGACATGTCAAACATGCACGACGCATCGCAATCGATCCAAGTGGCAAGGTGCCAGGGAGTGTACCCTCGGAGGCGTATGGATATTCATGGTATGAGCCCCGGGTCTGGGTTAATGTTGTACAAACATTCACCAAAGGGGGGTGTAGAGGAAGAGAGGGTCAAATTGTAACTTGTGTGGCATGTCATGAAGAATCGCCTGACTACACATAGACGCGGCATGGACTGGAGGGATGTCGGAGTGCGAACGAATCAAAAATGATTAAGCCACACTCTCCCGATCCTTAGTCGTGGTTCCCAGCATCGCTTCATAATCACGACGAAGCAGAACCAGGGCGACTTGGCAGCACACAAGGACTGCGTAAGAGAAGTTCTGTTCCAATTGTGATTTGACGTGGTCAGAACAGCAATATGTACGTGCCGCCAGTCCAACAGAGCAACCGTGAAGAGTGTATATTGATGTGAACTTTAAGGGACCTGACAAACGCTGACCGAGGTCAGATCCAATAACCAGAAAGGCCATCGTAGCCAAATTGTAGCGCCACTCTACTCCACGCAATGCCACCGCAACCGCCGAGAGGAGCCGGCGAAGCAATGGGGATGTGTCTTGGCGCACCGGAAGTAGCGAGCATCTCAGAACGCACGTAAATGATAATGTCGATGCTGATCCGATGTTGATGGGTGTTTTGGACAGCTGATCAGCGTGGTCCAAAGCGCCTGCAAGGTTCGCAAAGGACCACTCCAAGTACTCGTAGGAAAGATATCAGGAGAGCAGGTGATCCATTTCTATATTGGGAAAACAGCCACGTGGGTTCGAATCCCACGCCACACACTTAGTTGATGACTGAGAATGACAAGGACGCATGCTTGAACGTCGGAAAAAGAAAGCACTGGAGAGTGGTCCCTTGCGTCGTCTTATTTGGCAGATTCCGCCCGAGAAGGGGAAGAATGAAATCGGAATAGACAGGAGGAACCAAGCTACGGCATGCTTCAGGCTTACATGCATGACACCGCACGGACAGAGTAGTAGGAAGGATAGATCGATACTGAATCGAACAAGTAGAACACGAACAACGGTATGTCGTCCTCAGTGCGCACAACAAATCCTCCAGTCAACGTATCAGGTTCTGCAAGGGCCGACGGACCTGCTGCATCTGCCCGACAGGAATGGCCTTCAATTGCCTTCAACTGGAGATGCTCGATTTGGGAACCTCTTCCCAATGGCCGTCCGATACATGTGTTACTTGATTTCACCCGGAAACTACATGCAAGCGCATATCTCAGGCGCCCTCATGAAGCTTTGAGGAGTCGTGGTGTGAGTACTAATGCACATGCTCCGCCGTCCAGCTGCACCTTTCTCGGTACACTCAGTAATATTCCGCAGTGGGATTAAGTCCGACCTTCATAAGCAAATGAAGAGCTGCCAGCATCCACGTGGCCGTTTCCCTAGTACACCTTTGCCGCGCGTCTTCTCGAATCTTCGCCTCTGCTCCGTAGACATTGCTCATCTCCCCCACCATTATCGAAGACTTTGACGGGATCAGACATCTCGGCAACGGACGGTTTCAACGCCACGCAACTTAGGGTCTCAAATTATTGAGGATAATCTGTAGTAGGTTGGTGCTCCCAATGGTGATGGCTTTGTCACGAGGCTGACAGGCCTAGCGCCTGGTTCCATTTCCAAGTCATCTTCCACCTTCGATCTCTTCGATCTAGAGACATGAACGTTCCTACATTGGTTCTTCCGGAGGACGAAGGTTCGGCCCAGACCTCTATTACACCTACTGTAACAACGCCAAGCCATCAGGACTCCGGGAATGCTGTTGCTGGCGCCGCTGGGAATACCATCGAAAATTCCATCGATCCCATCGATGGTGAGTGATTTATTTGCGGAGTCCTAGATACTTCCTGTTCAAACGTTCGACCTCCTTATCAGAAGCGATCTCTATGTTATTACCGTCTCAGCGTAGCACTGCCGAAGGATATTTCCATGACACCATCCCCTCCTTCGCTTCAAGCTCGACTTCGCCAAGCTTCGTGCCGGTAGCGATCGAGCCTCCTGCTTTCCCAGAACCAGCCTCGGTCGACGATTTCCTCTTCGAAGTAAGAATCAATACTATGATGCCTTAAATCCTCGCTCATCCGAGTTTAAAGCTTGATGAGGGAATCGAGCCCTCACTCGAGCCTCCCCTACCCGATGACACATCTTCTACAATGCTCCGTGCCCAACTTAGCGTCCCATTTTCAACACCCACTTTATCCGATGGTTCATCCACAATCGCCCCATCTTTTACATCTTCTGCATCGTTCACATCGTCTTTAAGGAAGAAAGTTGCAAGCATTGCATCGGCAGGCGCTTTCTTCGCCGAATGCTTGGACTCGAAGCCATATCGAATTTTTTCTGTCCGAACGTTCTGCGAAAGCTTATTCAACAGTCGTCGTGCCACAAATGCCAGGATTGTGTCCGTTCAACGATATGGGGATCTTCAAGGGGTGCCGCATCGATTTCTCATCATGCATGTCACTCGAGCCGATGGAAGGGAGTTCTACCTCCGGTTGGATCGCAGACGGGACCGCCAAGTTCCCTTGTTGTTGTTTGGGGTACGGGATTTGGGAACGTCACGTGCGATGGATACGGTATGTAACTCACTCTTCAATGTCTTTGCCGCAGCCAAGAAACAGCACTACTCAATAGGCTGCCGTTTCTGGCAGACTCGACCACCTTCTTGATTTCACCAACACCAAGTCTGGCGTAGAGGCCATCATAGTCTTCCCCACTCCTGCTCTTTTGATCGTGGCTGCGCAAATTCTGTATACTATCGCAGTGGAATCTCCTGGTTACAAGCTAACCAAAGTAAGCGTCAGTGTCCGACCCTGTGTCATCATCAGTTGACAATTAGCTTCATATAGGAAAATTGTTGGTTTTTCGCCTCCACCACCCAGGAAATGTTAGTGCGGATGTTTGGGGCGAGGTATGAAAGAGGGTCTCTTAACCATCCCACAATTGGTTCTGAGAGACGGGAACGGATCAAAGGCTTGATGTATTCGCACATCACAAAACACATCAATAACAAATTGGAGACCATTCTAAGCTTCGCTGATTCAATGGACGACTCAAAGCTAAGGAAGGCTATAAAGTCCGTCCTTGATACTATAAAACATCACCTTGTAAGAGAATGGCCCTCGTGCCGCACTCAGTGTAACTGATCCTGTCCGAGCCATCAGCCCGCTTATCACACTTCCCCACCCGATGCATTCCAAATCTCCACATCCACTCAAGCACTCCTTGCTGTATTGCAACGGACATTACATGAACACCTACATGGAATCTATGGAATTAAAGGCGCACGGATCTTCTCGCACGATTTCACCGAGTTAGTAAATCTGAACGGCACTATATGCGAAATTCCTGTTAACTTTCTGTTTTCCAGTAAATTAGTTCAGATCATCCCATCATTGGAACAACTTCAAGAAGACGCTCCAATATTGAGTATCATACACCTCTTGGAATCATCTGTATGTGAATCACGCTGTCGGAGTCATGGACCGTCTAATATATCCACTAGCTGCAGGAAATTCTTGTAGTGCATCGCCGATCCTCAGTCACGTATGATTCGCTCAAAAGTGACCTCAATTCACTTTCCGAGGCCCGTCCGGGGAACGACGTGGTGCTTTGGGCGTTGGGGTTGCTTGGGCGATGTGCAGTGCTGGATCAGTTGCCAATACTATGGCGTTTCCAAGTTGATGCAGAAATTGCTGATCTCCAACATGAGTTTGAGAGGCTGATGATGACGCAGCTGAAGTTTGTGTGTTGCCATTGGATTACTCTCCTTTGTAAGTTGGACGAGCCCCACGATGATGAAATAATGAAGGCCCTTTCCGACGCTGTCCCGGCCCTTCTCCACTGGATTGCGGCAATGGGAATCATGGGTGAAATTGACCAAGCATGCCGAGGCATGAGAAAACTAGAACAATTGCTTGTAAGTTCAAAATTTGACTATTGGTTCATTGCTCACCTGTCTTTTTCAGGGGTTCGATGCCAAAGCCGCCAACAGTGTATGCCACATAATTCGCAGCTTGCGCCATCTGGTTGAGCGATCCCGGGATGCATTGGCGGCCTCGTCCCTATCTATCCTTGGAAGTAGCCATCCATTTATTCCTTCACATAGTGCATTGCATGCAACATTCCCGATGAAGTGGACTGTCGAATGCCGGATTATTTCTTATGCAATGGACAGTAGCCAACCATGGTCACCGCAAGCGGGGATAATCCAGAGCCCAAGTGGACCCCGCTCTGCGGCATTTTCTCCAGATGGCTGTCATCTAGTCTCAGCCTGTGTGGATGGTGTTGTGCGGATCTGGGATGTGGCGACGAGAGCGCTTCTTCGTGAAATGAAGGGACATACTCGTGAGGCCAATTCCGTTGCATATTCACCAGATGGCATTCATCTGGTCTCGGCATCGGATGATTGTACTGTGCGGTTCTGGGATGCGGTAACGGGAGCATGGCTTCGAGAACTGAAGGGGCATACTGACGTAGTGAGATTTGTGACATTTTCCCCTGATGGCCTTCGTCTGGCCTCGGCCTCGTACGATCGCACTGTGCGAGTCTGGGATACAGCAACAGGTGAGCTCCTCCGAGAATTGAAGGACCATGATGATTCTGTCTGTTCCGTTTCCTTTTCACCAGATGGGCGTTATCTAGCCTCAGATGATTACAACGTGCGTATTTGGGATGCATCAACAGGTGTACTTGTTCGAACACTGGAGGAACATGCCTTCAGCGTCTATTTTGTGAAGTTTTCGCCAGATGGATGTTATCTGGCCTCAGCCTTGTCGGATAATACCATACATGTTTGGAATGTGGCAACAGGAGTCCCGCTTCAAGAGCTGAACGGACATATCAATGGCATCCAATCCTTGGATTTCCCGCCGGATGGCCATCATCTGGCCTCGGCCTCAAATGACAGCACAGTGCGCATCTGGGATGTGGCAACAGGAGCGCCTCTTCAAGAGCTGAAAGGGCATGCTGGTCAGGTTTGGTCTGTGAATTTTTCGCCAGATGGTTGTTATCTGGCCTCGGCATCTTTGGATGGCACTCTACATGTCTGGGATGTGACAATGGAAGCACCCACTCGAGGGCCAAAGGCAACGAAAGGTCATGTTGACACCATATCCTGTGTGGAATTTTCGCCTGATGGATGCCATCTTGTTTCGGCCTCCAAGGATGGCAGAGTGTGTGCCTGGGACATTGCCGACATGAGTTGCATTGAGCGGTGAAGGAGGAGAACAGAAATCCTATAAAAGGCTGTTCTTTCTTCTGATACTTATATGTTAGTATTGGTACTTTAACTCAACCACTGTAGCGTTTTGGTTGCTTTGTGTATTGATATTTGTATGTGTTACTAATTGTTTGTGTGTGTATGAAACTCTCAGGGTTCAATTCACTTGTCTACCTGATTGTTCCACACGAAAATCACGCTATAGACCTACTATTTTCAGTCGTTTCACCTCTGTCTTGTCACTTTTAACTCGGAGCGACTCCAACCGACTTGACTCAACGTCACTATTTCTTAACTTCTTCTTAACTTTTTACTGAGGGTTGATCACTTTTACTCAGATGTGATCTGAACTGCACACTTATACTAATAAAACTTAATTTTTATTAGGACGCCTTATGACCTATGAGCCAGAGCACGTAGGGGAGAGGAGTAAAGAAGGAAGAGGGGTCAGACCAGAAAATGCGGTCTTTTATACCTTTCCTAAGGGCTCTGTTTTCACATGTCACTTTACTATTTACATTGCTGAGTAATCTTATATTGAGCTTAACAATCCTCTTATGTAAGCGATCAGCATCCCATTCTGCTTCTAGAACTTTCTGGAAGTTTTGGTGTGGGAATTAGCCAATTGCATTGCCTAACACCCATCATGACCTTGTTTACCCTTGTTTACTCACTTTATTCTAAGTCACATGTCATGGGGTTATTTGTTAGCTTAAGGGTGTAGCTTTCCGTCGGTATAAACAACAGTAAACTACGAGGATTATTTATGAAGATATGAATTTTTCAAGATTTAATTTTGAGGTTCTCCAGATTGCTTTGGCATTAGCTCATCCATTTTCTTACAATTAATTCTGGATAAATTATGCCTCGTTCCTGGACTCGAACTCTTTAGTTTCGCATTTCTAGCTCATCCGTTTTAACCACAAACTCAGGATGTTTGAGCCAGTCTTCTCTGCAAGTGTGTTTTAATATTGTTAAATCCGTTTCTCCCTCAATTCTTCAGATTTTAACATGAAATCTTTTCGAACACAGACCTATACTTCAACTCTTTAAGACCGACAAAGATTCATATTTTTCCCTATTTTCCTCATATAAATATTTCCAATTCTTTCATCTTTTCCTCGTACCCGACCATTTTTCATTATATGAATGCCTTGATTTCCTTCCGATTTCTCTTTGTCATTCGTTTCGTACGTTCGTAAAACTATTTTCCCACGTTACCACGAATTTCTAATATTTTATTTGATACAGGAAACCTTGTTTTTGTTTTCATGTGAGTTTATTTGCTGTTTTTCTTCATTTTCTGAACCATCTTTTAATCCCTAGACTTGAAAGTTCGCGTAGATACTCAATCCATCGACTCTGTTCTTCATTATTTTTCCGATATTTTATTTCAATTCATTTTGTTGAGTTATGATTTTATTCCTATTTTTATTTCTGGTCCGTGGAGGTTGTATGATTTTTATCCAATTTTTTGTGATGGTTTCTGGTTGTTTTAGTGTTGTAACTTTTATATTCCTACAGCGGACACAGCTCAATGAGATCTTTCGTCCCCACCAAATGCTATTTTCCACCGACGCCTTAACACTCCGCGTCCGAGGTCAGAAAAAGACAAAACATTTCAGCTTTCCAAAGTTAAGCGACCTATCCAACCCAATTTCAACATCCTTCCACAAATCTTCACCCACCCATCTCTTTCTTGATCATAATGCTCTTTGCATCAAGCGCGAAAACCTTTCCCTGCACATTTGTTGGCTACCCGACTACTTCAAGCCTAGCTGTCCAATCGCGGAACACGGTAATCATGTTAGCATTGGTGGAGAGAGAGGGATGATCGCATTCATCAATTTAGATGGACTTGTACCCCCGGCCTCCATTTAGCACTTGCGTGGTATGACCACGTTGGTCTTAATTTTTCGGGGCATATACAAGGATCGTAACTGCCAATACTGGTTTCTAACTTAACTGGTGTCTTTGATTTTAACTTATAGCAATCGGAGGCGAGAGTTTACTGGCATCCTATTATCAGGCCCCGGATTGCATCAGCAAAAAATTGTTATGCTCCTGAGTGCTCCGGAGTATCGAGAGCACTGGGAGAATCAGGAGGAGATTGGCCGGTCCAGGAACAGCCCATTTCCTCCGGAGTTGGCTAGGTACTCCAGGGCACTCCCAGGAGGGCCTGGAGCATTGCTTTGTGCACAAACATATCCAGTAAATACAATTTAAATGCTTCAAAGTGTATAGGGGTGAGAAGCTTCTGGGAGCTCCTGGAGCATTTGAAAATGAAAAGGAAAAAAAGAGGGAAGATCCCCCATGAATACCTCCTACCACAAGACTAACACAACAAGACACTGCTTAACATTTAGATCAAACACTATACTATATATCAAGGACACTGAGACTCACCAATACACAATCAAAATTTATGGCCTGATATATGATTAATCTGGCAACTTAATCACTTTTGGGCTGGCAGAATATGGGGGAGGGGGAAATGGGGGAGAATGAGGGGGGGAAATGAGGGGGAAATGAGGGGGAAATGAGGGGGAGAATGAGGGGGGAGAATGAGGGGGGGAATGAGGGGGGAATGAGGGGGGAATGAGGGGGGGATATAGAGGGAAATGAGGAAAATTTGAAAAATAGGGACTTCTAAAAAGTTGAAAAAAATAATTAGGGAAAAAATCAAAAAAATTCAGGAACTGTAGTGCCTTTGAAGTGCTTTCAGGATATATAATTATTTGCAAAATCGAGGAAGAAATGATGGAGAAAAATGGAAAATACTTTCGGAGACCCGAGAAATAATGAGAACTGAATTGATGGGAAAGTCTGAAAATTGAATAGGGAAGTGAGGGGAAGCCTTGTAGCATTGTTATTTTCTGCTGTTCTAATTTTTCCTGATTGTTCTTGGTCTCACTCCCAGCTGCTACTGGATACTCCTGGATACTCCTGGAAGCTCCTGGGAGGGTCCAGGAGCAGCTAATGGAAAATACTTTTGGAGACCCAAGAACTGAATTGATGGGAAAGTCTGAAAATTGAATAGGAAAGTGAGGGGAAGCCTTGTAGCATTGTTATTTTCTGCTGTTCTCATTTTTCCCGATTCTTCTTGGTCTCATTCCCAGCTGCTCCTCAATACTCCTGGAAGCTCCTGAAAGCTCCTGGGAGGGTCCAGGAGCAGCTGGGAGTGAGACCAAGAACAATCAGGAAAAATCAGAACAGCAGAAAATAACAATGCTTACAAGGCTTCCCCTCACTTTCCTATTCAATTTTCAGACTTTCCCATCAATTCAGTTCTCATTATTTCTCGGGTCTCCGAAAGTATTTTCCATTTTTCTCCATCATTTCTTCCTCAATTTTGCAAATAATTATATGTCCTGAAAGCACTTTAAAGGCACTATAGTTCCTGATTTTTTTTTTTTAATTTTTCCCGAAAATTTTTTTTTCAACTTTTTAGAGACCAAAATTTTCCTCCCACTGCTCCTGGCACATTACATACTCCTCACCACTCCCAGCTGCTCCTGAACCCCCTCCCAGGAGAACACTATTGGCTCCAGGAGTGCCCAATCTGCTGTTTTGTCTCCCACATGCTCCAGCCACTCTTGATGCTCCGGAGCATAACGGACTTTTGCTGATGTGGATTCTTGGCATATGAGTGTAATTGCTCCTTTTGACCTATTGAGTTGACATCATTATTTCCTTGTGTCACCCAGACCTCTTCCTTGCATGCTCATGGATATTGAGCCATTCACGCGGGCGCAATCGGGGGATAAAGATGAGAGTATTGGGCTCCTATTATTTGGTCATTGAAATATTTGAAAAGACACCCGTTGTCAGAACCGTGCGAATCTTCGCCGAGGGTAGCCGTAGGCGACCGAGCGTTGCCCGCTAGTGGAATAGGCGTCCTACACCCGACCGAGCTTTAGCGAGGGATAAACCCCACCGATCTCGAGGCCGAGGCTACTTAGGCGAGTGAGCCGGGATTTCGGCTTCAACGACTCTAGGAGGAGCGTTGCGCCTCGTTCTCGACGCGGTCCCGATACTTAGAAGGTCGGAGGTCTCACGGGGGCAGAGGTAAGCTTTAGGGGGTAATTCTAGTTGATTTCGAACTACAGTACAGGCATTAGTTACAAGCCGTATATAAGCGCTAGGGAACTGAATAAGGAATAAGTCGCCAGATCTCGCGGAGATTGCGGGCGGAGAAAAGAAGGTGGAAAACAAACAAAGAGCACGTGCTCAAGACAACGAAGGTCAAGCATGACCTTCGCCGCGAGATAACAAGGTGCGGCGAAACATGGAACAACGGGTCGCGGCGCTCTGCGCCGCTAGGTCGTTCAACGACAAAGAGGAAAGGTGTTGTGGAGAGGTGGCGGGGAGTGGTTAGACGGCGACGGGCGGCGAGCGGAGTGTGCGGGGAGTGTTCGGGCGTGGGAGAAGGTCAGGGAGGAGGTCGTCTGGCCCCGGGGAACGCCGGGTCGTGACACCCGTCTAGAGAATGACGCCACTTTGGTTCAAATTCCATCCCAATCAACGCCGTCTCTGCCCATGCAGCACACTTTAGTTCATGATTCACGATGACTTAGGAGAATGAGAAGGACGCATGCACCATTGCTGCTGAACGTTGGAAGAAGAAAGCACATGGAGAGTGGTCCCTCGTCTTGTTTGGCGGATTTCACCTGGGGAGGGGAAGTATGATATAGATGTTAGGTTAGAGTCAGATCGAACGTCATCGCGTTGCAGCTACTTCAAACAGGAGGGTGGCCCAGACAGGAGGAAGGGCATGCAGAGCGGTATCCAAGCTACGACATGCGTTTACTTGCATGATGGCACGCTGTGGGCCAGAGTAGCGACGATACTGGAACGAAGAAGTAGAGGGTGATATGAAGTGAGTTACCGAAAGAAATTGCACAAGCGACCCGTACTCTCATCTTCAACACCAAGAACCACTTGGGCCTCAACGCTGCTGTACTCATTGGTTGGATGTTACTCTCCATGTGTACCACTGTGCTTTTCCAATACCTGGTGTGAAGAGTTTCCATGAAGGATTATCTCCATCTTAATAATATTGGGAGGATGGTTGGAGAGGAGGAGGTTGGCCCTGAGGGTAGTGATACTGGGCCGGAATCACTGCTCCTGTCTGAAGATAGGAAAGGACAGCGTCCGCCTAGGATAGAAACAACGAAAGAAATTATGGATAGGGAGGTGAAGGAGTAAATTCTCAGGGTTTCCATGTCGTTTGGGGCCTTATCTTGGGCGCACGATTCGCAATTCACGGTTTCTACACGCTAGACGGTCGAATTTAAGAGCAGGCCATACCAGTAGAGTATATACCGACACGAGCATTTGTATCATGTTCGCACTTACCAGTCATCCCACTACGTGGTCTTGATGTAGGGTGCCTGCTTTCGGAGCTTTGACACTGACAGCTCTGAGTCTGTTGACAGCAGCTGTCGGCCACATGAATTCGGTGAGGCAGGGGAATATCCGGGAATAGCCTTGCCGGGGTCCGGTTATTCCACCAACATCATGACACCCCAGGTTTTTCCTCTTGCGAATGGAGCGCAGTTGGGGTACGAGATACTAGGAGCCGATCACCTGAAGAGAGGTGTCCGTCCCATTGTCCTCATTAATGGCATGTCGGGGCGATATGAAGATTGGGAAACTCTGAGCATACCCCTCAGTAAATTGAGACCTGGTGGGCTGTTAATCTTTTCTAACGGCGTTTGGCTTGCTCTCATATGCTGCGTTAGTATTGGTATTCGATCACCGGTATGGATTATATGAACAAATTGGTAGCCCACGAATGCAGACTGGCCTCATGTAGAGATTTTGGAGCTTCTATAGTGAAAACGAGCAAGCGGGAAGAAATTACCACGTTATCGATGGCAGAAGATGCAATCGCCCTCATCGATCATCTCAGATTCAGAGGCATAGATGCATGCGGCGGGTCGATGGGGGGTGTTATTCTCCAACAAATCCTCATCCTCGCTTCTACCACACCAAGTGCAGTTCCTTTCCGGATACACCATGCTCTTCTCGCAGCTACAACGACAAAAATTCCTCGCGGTGACCCGGAGTTCATTGAATATCTTGCCAAACCTCCTCCGGTCGATGGACAACTTACGGAGGAGAGGAAAATGACGATTGCGAGACCTATGGTTGAGCTTGGCTACGATGTAGATTTCCTAAGGACACCTGAAGGAAAAGCGAAAGTGGAAAAGCTCTTGCCTTCAATGATCCTTAAAAGACCCTCGAAACAAATTGGTGTGTAGAGTTGTGTCGTATGCCCATGCTTGAGGGTGACTCACCTTCATCTTGTTATTGCCGTGCAGCTCGCCAGGCCTTATCGGTATGCAAACCCGCTTTCTCTTGGTACCCGATCCTTGATGTCATTGCCATTTCAGGTCCGCAACACTGACACTCGCCCTCTTCTCCCCTCCATACCATCATCAATTCCCATCCTAGTCATCCACGGCACGAAAGATCGTATCATCCACTACGCAGAATCTAACTATCTCACCAGACATATCAAACATGCACAACGCATCGCAATCGATCCAAGTGGCAAGGTGCCAGGGAGTGTGCCCTCAGAGGCGTATGGACATTCATGGTGTGAATACTTTGAGCCCCGGATCTGGGTCAATGTCGTGCAAACGTTCACCAAGGGGGGTGTAGAGGAAGAAAGGGTCAAATTGTAACTTGTGTCGTATGTCATGAGGAATCGCCTGACTGCACATGGACGCGGCATGGACTAGAGGGATGTCGAAATCTGAACGAATCAAGAATGATTAAGCCACACTGTTAGTCGTGGTTTCCACCATTGCGCCAAAGTCATGACCAGAGCGACTTGGCCACAAGGGCCGCGAGAGAGAACCTCTATTTCAATAGTGACTTGATGCAGTTAGAACAGCGTGTTGTCAGTCCAACAGAGCAACCGTGGAGTGTCAACTTTAAGGGAACTGACAAATGCTGACCGAGTTCAATAACCAGAAGGGCCATTGTAGCGCCACTCTATGTGGAGCCGGCGAAGCGATGGAATTGTGTCTTGGCGTACCGGAAGTAAGTAGTGAGCATCTTAGAACATGCGTACATGCACCGCAGTCAGCTATATCTCTACTTTAGTAGAGGCTTGAATCCTGCCTAAGCCATACCCCAATAGTGCCGATGCTACTCCGACGTAAACCACGAGTCAGAGCCGATGTTGATGGGTGTTTGAGGTGGCCCAATTAAGCCTTACCGAGCGCCTACAAGGTACGCAAGGGACCACTACCGCTTTCAGTAGGAAAAGACGTCAGGAGAGCAGGTGATCCATTTCTAGGTAAAACAGCCACATTAATAGTTCGAATCCCACGCCGCCTCCGTACACGCTTAGTTGATGACTAAGGAGAATCATGCTTGAACGTTGGAAAAAGAAAGCGCATGGAGAGTCTGATGGAGAGTGGCCCCTTGCGTCGTCTTGTTTGGCAGATTCCGCCTGAGAAGGGGAAGTGTGATATAGATTCAAATCTGCTTCGAACGGGAGGGTGGAGACAGGAGGAAGAGGGGCATCCAAACTACGACATGCCTCAGGTTTACATGACGCCGCACGGGCAGAGGAGCAGGACGGACGACTGAAACGAATTAAGAAGTAGAACATTAACAACGGTATGTCGTTCTCAGTGCGCACAACAAATCCTCCAGTTAACGTATCAGGTTCTGATCGATGCGGTTAGTTGTTGGGTGTTATTTGGGTCCAGGGCCGACGGACCTGCCCGATACGAATGGCTGTTGCTTCAACTGGGGATGCTCGATTTGGGAACCTCTTGCCAATGGCCGTCCGATACATGTCTTGCTCGATTGCACCCGGAAACTACATGCAAGCGCATATCTCGGGCGCCCTCATGAACCGTTGAGAAGCCATGGTGTGGATATGCATGTGCTCCGCCGCCCATCTGTACCTTTTTCGGTACACTCAGTAATATTCCGCAATGGGATTAAGTCCAACCTTCACAAGCAAATGAAGAGCTTCTTCCCTGCCTGCATCCACGTGGTCATTTCCCTAATACCCCCACCTTTGCCGCACGTCTTCCCCTCTGCTTCGTAGACATTGCTGATCTCCCCCACCATTCCTGATAATAATTTTGACGGGATCGGACACCTCGGCGACGGACGGCTTCAACGCCACGCAACTTAAGGTCTCAGATAATTTGCAGTAGGTTGATACCTTGCTCTTTTTTCCCTCCGCTGCGGCTCCCAACGGTGATGGCTTTGTCACAATGCTGACAAGCCTAGCGCGCGCCTAGTTCCATTTCCAAGTCATCTTCCACCTTCGATCTCTTCTATCTAGAGACATGAACGTTCCTACATTGGTTCTTCCGGAGGACGAAGGCTTGGCCCAGACCTCTATTACGTCCGCTGCAACAACGCCAAACCACCAGGACTCCGGAAATGGTGTTGCTGGCGCTGGAAATGCCACCGAAAATGCCACCAATTCCGTCGATAGTGAGTCAGCTATTTGCAGAGCCTTGGGTCCTTCTTGTTCAAGCCATCGACCTCCTTATCAGAAGCGATCGCTATGTTATTACCGTCTCAGCGTGGCCCCGAAGGATATTTCCATGACACGATCCCCTCCTTCGCTTCAAGCTCGACTTCGCCAAGCGTTGTGCCGGTAGCGATCGAGCCTCCTGCTTTCCCAGAACCAGCCTCGGTCGACGATTTCCTCTTCGAAGTAAGAATCAATACTATGATGCCTTGAATCCTCGCTCATCCGAGTTTAAAGCTTGATGAGGGAATCGAGCCCTCACTCGAGCCTCCCCTACCCAATGACACATCTTCTACAACGCTTCGTGACCGACTTAGCATCCCATTTTCCTGGTCAACACCCACTTTATCCGATGGTTCATCCACAATCGCCCCATCTTTTACATCTTCTGCATCGTTCACATCGTCTTTAAGGAAGAAAGTTGCAAGCATTGCGTCGGCAGGCGCTTTCTTCGCCGAATGCTTGGACTCGAGGCCATATCGAATCTTTTCTGTGCGAGAGTTCTGCGAAAGCTTATTCAACAGTCGTCGTGCTGCAAATGCCAGGATCGTGTCCGTTCAACGATATGGGGATCTTCAAGGGGTGCCGCACCGATTTCTCATCATTCATGTCACTCGAGCCGATGGAAGGGAGTTCTACCTCCGGTTGGATCGCAGACGGGACCGCCAAGTTCCCTTGTTGTTGTTTGGGGTACGGGATTTGGGAACGTCACGTGCGATGGATACGGTATGTAACTCACTCTTCGATGTCTTTGCCGCAGCCAAGAGACAGCACTACTCAATAGGCTGCCGTTTCTGGCAGACTCGACCACCTTCTTGATTTCACCAATACCAAGTCCGGCGTAGAGGCTGTCATGGTGTTCCCTACTCCTGCTCCTTTGATCGCGGCTGCGCAAATTATGTATGCTATCGCAGCGGAATCTCCTGGTTACAAGCTAACCAAAGTAAGTGTCAGTATCTGACCCTAACCCATCATCTGTTGATTCACTCTCTACGTGTAGGAAAATTGTTGGTTTTTCGCTTCCACCATTCAGGAAATGTTGATGCGGATGTTTGGGGCAAAGTATGAGAAAGGGCTTCTTAACCATCCCACGATCGGTCCCTCGAGACGAGAACCCATCAAAGTTTTGACATATCCGCACATTGCGAAAGAAATTAATGACACATCAGAGACAATTCTAAGATTCGCTCGTTTACTCCCAGACTCAAAGTTGGCGAAGGCTGTTAAGTTCGTCCTCGACGCTGTAAAAAATCACCATGTGAGAGAATGGCCCGTGTGCCGTGCTTATCACCGTAACTGATGCATTTGAGCCAGGCGTTTGCATATCAGGGTTTTTCGCCATCCAATGCATCTCAAGCCCCCCCATCCACCCGAGAACTCCTTGCTGCCCTGCAGCAGGCATTGCACGAACACGTACATGGATGCAATGGAATTCAAGGAGCACGGATGTTCTCAACTAGTTTCACCGAGTTAGTAGATTAATTGATCATTCACCGTGAACGGCCTTTTTTGCGCAATTCCTGTTAACTTTCTGTTTTCCAGTACATTAATTCAGATCCTCCCATCGTTGGAACAACTTCAAGAAGATAATTTCTCTACTCCAATATCGGGTATTATACGCCTCTTAGAATCATCTGTATGTGGATCACGCTGGAGTCGTGGACTGTCTAATCCATCCACTAGCTGCAGGAAGCTCTTCCGCTGCATCGTCGTTCCGCAGTTACCTATCATTCGCTCAAAAGTGACCTGGATCCATTTTTCAGGCTCTCTCCGGGGAAAGACACGGTGCTCCTCACATTGGAGCTGCTTGGGCGATGTGCGGTGCTGGATCAGTTGCCAACGCTATGGCGTTTCCAACTAGATGCAGAAATTCCTGATCTCCAACCTGAGTTTGAGAGGCTGATGACGACGCAGCTGAAGTTTGTGTGTCGTCATTGGGTCACTCTCCTTTGTAAATCGGATGAGTCCCATGATGGTGAAACAATGGAGGCCCTTTTCAACGCTGTCCCGGCGCTTCTCCACTGGATTGCCGCAATGGGGATCATGGGTGAAATTGACCAAGCGTGCCAAAGCATGAAAGAACTACAGCGATGGCTAGTGCGTCAAAAATTACTTGGATACTACCGTATGGCTCACTCTGGTGTTTTGAAGGTCGGCATTCAAGCAGCCAATAGTATAAGTCACGTAATTCGTGACCTGCTCTGTCTAGTCGAGCGATCCCGGAGTGCATTAGCGGCCTCGTCCTTATCTATAGTTGGAAGTAGCCATCCATTTATTCCATCAGGTAGCGCGTTGGATGTAACATTTCCAAAGAAGTGGGCTGTTGAATGCCATATTGTTTCTCATGGAATGGATAGCAGCCAACCATGGTCACCACAAGCGGGGATAATCCACAGCCCAAGTAGACCCCGCTCTGCGGCATTTTCTCCAGATGGCTGTCATCTAGTCTCAGCCTGTGGGGATGGTGTTGTGCGCATCTGGGATGCGGCGACGAGAGCGCTTCTGAGGGAAATGAAGGGACATACTGGTGGGGCCAATTCCGTTGCATATTCACCAGATGGCATTCATCTGGCCTCGGCCTCGGACGATCGCACTGTGCGTTTCTGGGATGCGGCAACGGGAGCATACCTTCGAGAACTGAAGGGGCATGCTGACTGGGTGAAATTTGTGACATTTTCCCCTGATGGCCTTCGTCTGGCCTCGGCCTCGTACGATGGCACTGTGGGAGTTTGGGATACAGTAACAGGGGTGCCCCTCCGGGAATTGAAGAATGATAATATCTCTGCCCTGTCCGTTTCCTTTTCACCAGATGGGCGTTATCTAGCCTCAGATGATAACAACGTGCGTATCTGGGATGCATCGACAGGAGCACTTCTTCAAATACTGAAGGAACGTGCCTCCGCCGTCTATTTTGTGAAGTTTTCGCCAGATGGATGTTATCTGGCCTCGGCCTTGTCGGATAATACCATACATGTTTGGAATGTGGCAACAGGAGTCCCGCTTCAAGAGCTGAAAGGACATACCGATGGTGTCAGGTCCTTGGATTTCTCGCCGGATGGCCATCATCTGGCCTCGGCCTCGAACAGCACAGTGCGCATCTGGGATGTGGCAACAGGAGCGCCTCTTCGAGAGCTGAAAGGGCATACTGGTTGGGTTTGGTCCGTGAATTTTTCGCCAGATGGTTGTTATCTGGCCTCGGCATCTTTGGATGGCACTGTACATGTCTGGGATGCAACGATGGAATCACTCACTCGAGGGCCAAAGGCAACGAAAGGTCATGTTGACACCATCTCCTGTGTGGAATTTTCGCCTGATGGGCACCATCTTGTTTCGGCCTCCAAGGATGGCAGAGTGTGTGCCTGGGACATTGCCGACAGGAGTTGCATTGAGCAGACACAGCTCAATGAGATCTTTCGTCCCCACCAAATGCTATTTTCCACCGATGCCTTAACACTTCGCGTCCGAGGTCAGAAAGAGACAAAACTTTTCAGCTTTCCAAAGTTAAGCCGCATATCCAACCCAATTTCAACATCCTTCCACAAATCTTCACCCACCCATCTCTTTCTTGATCATAATGCACTTTGCATCAAGCGCGAAAACCTTTCCCTGCACATCTGTTGGCTACCCGACTACTTCAAGCCTAGCTGTCCAATCACGGAACACGGTAACCATGTCAGCATTGGTGGAGAGCGAGGGATGATCGCATTCATCAATTTAGATGGACTTGTACCCCTGGCCTCCATTTAGCACTTGCGTGGTATGACCATGTTGGTTTTAATTTTGCGGGGCATATACAAGGATCGTAACTGCCAATACTGGTTTCTAACTTAACTGGTGTCTTTGATTTTAACTTATGCAATTGGAGGCGAGAGTTTACTGGCATCTTATTATCAAGCCCCGGATTGGATTCTTGGCATATGAATGTAATTGCTCCTTTGACCTATTGAGTTGACATCATTATTCCCTTGTGTTGCCCAGACCTCTTCCTTGCACGCTCGTGGATATTGGGCCATTCATGCGGGCGCAATTGGGGGATAACGACGAGAGCATTGTGCTCCTATTATTTGGTCATTGAAATATTTGAAAAGATGCCTGTCTAGAGAATGCCGCCACTTTGGTTCAAATTCCATCACAATCAATGCCGTCTCTGCCCATGCAGCACACTTTAGTTCATGATTCACGACGACTTAGGAGAATGAGAAGGACGCATGCACCATTGCTGCTGAACGTTGGAAGAAGAAAGCACATGGAGAGTGGTCCCTCGTCTTGTTTGGCAGATTTCGCCTGGGAAGGGGAAGCATGATATAGATGTTAGGTTAGAGTCAGATCGAACGTCATCGCGTTGCAGATACGCAACTACTTCAAACAGGTGGGTGGCCCAGACAGGAGGAAGGGCATGCAGAGCGGTATCCAAGCTACGACATGCATTTACTTATATGATGGCGCGCTGTGGGCCAGAGTAGCGACGATACTGAAACGAAGAAGTAGAGGGTGGTATGAAGTGAGTTACCGAAAGAAATTGCACAAGCGACCCGTACTCTCATCTTCAACACCAAGAACCACTTGGGCCTCAACGCTGCTGTACTCATTGGTTGGATATTACTCTCCATGTGTACCACTGTGCTTTTCCAATACCTGGTGCGAAGAGTTTCCATGAAGGATTATCTCCGTCTTAATAATATTGGGAGGATGGTTGGAGAGGAGGAGGTTGGCCCTGAGGGTAGTGATACTGGGCCGGAATCACTGCTCCTGTCTGAAGATAGGAAAGGACAGCATCCGCCTAGAATAGAAACGACGAAAGAGATTATGGATAGGGAGGCGAAGGAGTAAATTCTCAGGGTTTCCATGTCGTTCGGGGCCTTATCTTGGGCGCACGATTCACAATTCACGGTTTTCACACGTTAGACGGTCCAATTTAAGAGAGTAGAGTATATACCGACACGAGCATTTGTATCATGTTCGCACTTACCAGTCATCCCACTACATGGTCTTGATGTAGGGTGCCTGCTTTCGGAGCTTTGACACCGACAGCTCTGCTGACAGCAGCTGTCGGCCACATGATTCGGTCAGGCAGGGGAATATCCGGGAATAGCCTTGCCGGGGTCCGGTTATTCCACCAACATCATGACACCCCAGGTTTTTCCTCTTGCGAATGGAGCGCAGTTGGGGTACGAGATACTAGGAGCCGATCACCTGAAGAGAGGTGTCCGTCCCATTGTCCTCATTAATGGCATGTCGGGGCGATATGAAGATTGGGAAACTCTGAGCATACCCCTCAGTAAATTGAGACCTGGTGGGCTGTTAATATTTTCTAATGGCATTTTGCTCGCTCTCATACGCTGTGTTAGTATTGGTATTCGATCACCGGTATGGATCACATGAACAACTTGGTAGCCCACGAATGCAGACTGGCCTCATGCAGAGATTTCGGAGCTTCTATAGTGAAAACGAGCAAGCGGGAAGAAATTACCACATTATCGATGGCAGAAGATGCAATCGCCCTCATCGGTCATCTCGGATTCAGAGGCATAGATGCATGCGGCGGGTCGATGGGGGGCGTTATTCTCCAACAAATCCTCATCCTCGCTTCTACCACACCAAGTGCAGTTCCTTTCCGGATACACCATGCTCTTCTCGCAGCTACAACGACAAAAATTCCTCGCGGTGACCCGGAGTTCATTGAATATCTTTCCAAACCTCCCCCGGTTGATGGACGATTTACGGATGAGGGGAAAATGACGATTGCGAGACTTATGGTTGAGCTTGGCTACGACGTAGATTTTCTAAGGACACCTGAAGGAAAAGCGAAAGTGGAAAAGCTCTTGCCTTCAATGATCCTTAAAAGACCCTCGAAACAAATTGGTGTGTAGAGTTGTGTCGTATGCCCATGCTTGAGGGTGACTCACCTTCATCTTGTTATTGCCGTGCAGCTCGCCAGGCCTTATCGGTATGCAAACCCGCTTTCTCTTGGTACCCGATCCTTGATGTCATTGCCATTTCAGGTCCGCAACACTGACACTCGCCCTCTTCTCCCCTCCATACCATCATCAATTCCCATCCTAGTCATCCACGGCACGAAAGATCGTATCATCCACTACGCAGAATCTAACTATCTCACCAGACATATCAAACATGCACAACGCATCGCAATCGATCCAAGTGGCAAGGTGCCAGGGAGTGTGCCCTCAGAGGCGTATGGACATTCATGGTGTGAATACTTTGAGCCCCGGATCTGGGTCAATGTCGTGCAAACGTTCACCAAGGGGGGTGTAGAGGAAGAAAGGGTCAAATTGTAACTTGTGTGGCATGTCATGAGGAATCGCCTGACTGCACATGGACGCGGCATGGACTAGAGGGATGTTGAAATCTGAACGAATCAAGAATGATTAAGCCACCCTGTTAGTCGTGGTTTTATCGTGGTTTCCAGCATTGCGCCAAAGTCATGACCAGAGCGACTTGGCACACAAGGACCGCGAAAAGAGAACCTCTATTTCAATAGTGACTTGATGTGGTCAGAACAGTGTGTTGTCAGTCCAACAGAGCAACCGTGGAGAGTGTTAACTTTAAGGGAGCTGACAAACGTTAACCGAGTTCAATAACCAGAAGGGCCATTGAAGCGCCACTCTACTCCCTGCCGGGTGGAGCCGGCGAAGCAATGGGATTGTGTCTTGGCGCACCGGAAGTAGTGAGCATCTTAGAACATGCGTACATGCACCGCAGTCAGCCATACCCCGATAGTGCCGATGCTACTCGGACGTGAACTACGAGTCAGAGCCGATGTTGGTGAGTGTTTGATCAGCCTGGCCCAATTAAGCCTTGCCGAGCGCCTACAAGGTACGCAAGGGACCATTACTGTTTTCAGTAGGAAAAGACGTCAGGAGACGAGGTCTTCTAGTCATCTTTCACACATTATAGTCAGTCTTCATACAAAGAGTCAAACACTCGTTCAACTGTCACCCCCACAGCCGAGGGGCGTAGCCGAACCGCCCGCTTACAAGCAATTGCAAAATAATCTCCAACCGCGTAGACCTCATGTTTGGGCGATGGAAAAATCTCGCCAAACGCAGTAGGTTGGGCGGCTGGCTCCCAAATAATGCAGGATAGCTGGAAATGTCAACTGCTCTTATCGCACCACACCGCGCGCAATTAGTCTATCTTCCAATAGAGAGCTAGGTCCTACCTAAGGAGGCAGATCACGGCGATCCAGATCCACGCAGAGAGAAAACTTTCGCCAGCCAATCTGGATCCTCAAATTCAAATGCGCTTATTCGCATATTTGGAGTGCCGCCCGAACTTTCCAATCTTCAGCGTGTCTATTGCACGATCGGTTGAGGATCGGTCCATGTGTCATGTTAAAGGGCGATGTGCGGTTAAGCGGTGTGATCTCTCCGCGTTTGGAAACCATCGAGCCTGAGTGCAAAGATCCTCAGATCAAACTAATCCACCCGATCGAACTTCCAAAATGGTTTCGCTCTGTGAGGGTGCCCCGCCAGGCACACATCGGCAAGCTTCAATCGCTGAGATTAACGCTAGGCTTAGCGGTATAAAAAACATTTCTCTCAAAACTCTCCGCCCCCCTCGTCAGTGTACATCATGGCTACCGACTGTTCAAAGCACGATCCCCCTGCTTTAAGAACAATTTCTACTTGCGTGCTGGTCTTATCGTGAGCACCTTTGTTGATCGCACGCCTGCTATCTGACATTTTCTGGAGCTCGTGGCTGAAGGCGGCTTAATGTCCTTTATTTTTCCGCTTTCACTCCTCATTTACTCCCTGGTGAGCCCTTCGTAGTTGTGCCCACCAGCAATAGTTCCTTAATGACTCCCGATAGAGACAACTATACATAAAGTACCATGGCCGGAAGCGGGCATCAACCTCCAACGTTAAACCTGGAGTCCAGCCTATATCGGTTTTGTTTCTTTGTAGTATTTTCGCGGATATGCTGTAAGTCTGATGTGAATAAGGTCATCCATCACTCGCTGTGACTCATTGGGCCTTCTGCAGTTGCGGACTAGGGCATTCTATGTCCATCAGATGGGTGCTCGCAGGTGAAGTGATCGAGGGCCCATATTGTACAGGACAGGCGGCTTTACTTCAGATCGGGAATAACGGTGTCTGTATGTCAATTTATACTTCATCGAGCGCCAGTGTCTAAGAAGGCCATCGGTCACCAGCATGGTTCACCACGGCAATTGCGGTATTGACTTACCTTCAGGTGGCTCACTCAAACCCGTTAAGCAAAAGAGGAGCAAAGATTTTTGCAGCGGGATCTATTTGCTTTACAACCGTATTCACCCTGTTGGTCATTGCGATTCCTGCTTCGATGGTCTCTCCATATTATGGCAACGCTGGGTGAGGATTGCACATGAAATCTCATATATACATAATTTAACTCCACGTCCCAGGTTGTGGTGCTGGCTCCCTGGCACCAATCCTAGCCGCCAGAGGTTACGGTTCGGTAAGTCTAAGATACCTTGGCTGCTGCGATGCTCCGTGGAACTGAACCTGGAATGCAGCTTCTCAATATGTGTGGAACTGGCTTGCGATATTGGTATCAATTGCCACGTATGGCACGGTGGCATACAAGTGGTTGTTTCGAGGCCCTTTTCGTACCAACTGTGACATTAAACGGGCCGCGATTGCCATGGGATGGTATCCTATTAGTGAGTGCGATCATCATATAAGCCCAAACCCCTGGCTTATTTCTTCTATTTCAGCTTATCTCATCGTCACCGCGCCTTCATCCTCGATTCGTTTCCGTCAGTTCCATGGGTATCAACCAAACACTGCCGAGCGGATCTTCCCCTTTGTCCTTGCTGTCTCACACGGAGCCATCAACGTCATCCTATGGTTTATGACTGGCAGACGTTTCGGATTCTCACCCAACAAAAAGAATGTTTCTCCTGACTCGGAGATTCTTTCCTTTAAAGATGTTGAAACCTCGACCTCACAAGCAACTCCTACGGACGGTGATGGGGTTCGACACTCAGCCGTAACCATTCCAATTCCCCCACCAACGTGGACGCCTGAACGCCCTAATGGCAGCGTTCCCTCAGTGACTCAAGTTTCCTCGCCTCCCGGCCTCAGCGGAAACGACATTCACATGTATCCATGCTCTCTTTCTCCTATCCCTGGTTCACCGAACAGCGACCAAACGATTGTTATAAGCAATATAGATTAATTGATCGGCGCTTCTTCCCAATCATTCCGGTGACCATTATAAACCCGCCATATAGTAACTCAGCGCAGAGCTTAAGCCTGGATCAATGTTATGTTTTAATACTACTACCCGACAAATATTTGTTGGGATTCAAGCTCGAATTTATGTATGTTGCTTACATCCCTTCATTTAATGTTAGCGATTCTACGTACTCTCATCTGGTCCTGTTTTCCTGGAATATTGACTCTACCTGCTGCATCTCGATTCATGCATGGATACGTTATGCATGGCAGCAAATATATTCTCAAGCCACGAGCGTCGCCTATCGGCATACTGAAATGAAATGACTGAGAGTATGGTATGACGCAAATCCCGCCTGAAGCGGCAATACCCGCCACTCATCCCGCTGACAAGTCAACGGTTGCCATGAGAAGTCATCCAACTGGAAGCTCACCGTGCTTTCTTTTCTTGTGTTTCGCTTGCTGGACACGTTGGCCTCGTGCTTTCTTTTTTCTTATAGTGTGCCCATTTAGTGCATTGGCATCTATGCCCTCTTTCTTGTCTCATGCCCACTGAGCAGATTGCCTTCACCTACTCGTTTCCCTTGTGACTGTACTACACGTCAACCCTATTGCGTTCTTTCTTCATTTGGTCCGCTGTAACGCGGAGGCATTCAACACGGCCTCGACTCTGTGCCTTCGTGCCTACTGTTGCGCTTCAGCCTGTATGGCTTGCGTCCTTGGCCTTCGGCTTCGTGCCTTCGTCGGCCTTCATGCCTTGTGTCTGCTGGACGCAGCGGCTAGGCTTCCGGCTTTAAAAGGGATTGGAGAATTAGGATTTCAGTGAACAGGAGTTTACGTGCTTTGTCTTGGCACACCCTGAGAGCCTTGGCTTTCACCACAACCAACCTCCAGCGTTTTTTCTCGTCCTCACAAGAAATTCTGTCAATTGGCTGGTTTATAGCCTGGCACTCGCCGAGCGCTCTGCTCTTATCGCGCTCAATCTTGACCTCATTCTTCTATTTCGAGTGCGCTATTTTATTCAGCTTGATCCCTTTACCGTTGTCCTGTACCCGATCGACACTTCTTTCGATCTCATCCTTACCCTCTGTCGTTAACCGTGTCGTCTGTCTTTAGAACAAGTTTGGTGCCTAGTGGCCCCAACACTTCATTTCGCTTTTTGCGCTGATGATGTACCCGGGTCTATTCTGGTTCTGACTCCGCATATTATTGTCTTCGGACACTTGTTTGCTCATTTTTGTTTGGTGATAACTCTTTCTGCTCTAAAAATAGTCTTTGATGGTCAGAGGTGGGAAGCGTGCAACAGTGGGTGCGAACCTCCGGGGCGGATGATTCAAAATCGCATGGGCTGTCGCTTACGGTATGTTCAAACACGATCGTACGCAAATGTTCACATGGGGCGTATCCACAAGTCACAGTGTTAAGTAAACCATGAAACCAACATGCAAAGCGCAAGCAGTTGAAATCGGGGGAGATGTTCAAGATTGTGAACGGATTGGGGAATTGTTGGTGGAGATTATTAAAACCTAGCAAAAACTCACAGCAGGCTCCGAAAGAGGGGGGGAATTGATAGCATAAAGAGCGATGCACACGGAGTACAAAAGGGAGTGCGAGGCATGAGAAGACAGGAGGTAGTCAAAAAGCGAAGGGGCCAGGTTGTAGAGCATGTGGACATGGACAAGGAGGATTCCAGTGTTTAGCTGACGGTAAGCGTGATGAGCTAATATCGTGTGTCAGAAAGCTGAGGCAAAAAAGGGGTATAACCAATATTCGTGCACGGCCATTCAGTCTACGCTTCCAAGACCCGCTACAGAGTTAGCGGGAATGATATGACGCAAATCCCCCTTAAATTCCCGCCATCCCGAGCGGCCAAAGTCACAAATCCACGTGGCCTTTGACAGGGGCTGCTCCGGTGCCATCGGAACATCCCGTTCTTTTGTCGCTGAGGTTTGTCATTCCTTATATGTTGTTCATATCATTTCCTAGCCCACACTCCACCTAGATCGATTATTTTGATATGGTCCTCATGGTCGTTTCACGTTTGAGGCTGGGACCCGGCGGGTGTTTCGTCAAGGGCAATTTGGCACATGGTCCGCGTAACAGAACTTCTATGTCAGTCCAACATCGGAGCAACCGGCGTGGAGTGCCTACATTAGTGGGACGAAGCAATGGAGATGTGTCCTAGTGCACTTGAAGTAATCATGAGTATCTCTGAACACGCATATACGGCGGTCAACCATCTACTCCATGAACCAGCCGACGCTGACGGGTGTTTTGGGTAACTGATCAGTGTTGCCCAATTGCATCTTACCGAGTGTCTGTGACGTGCGCATGGGGCCACTACCGCTTTCGGGAGAGTGAAAGACGTCAGGAGAGCAGGTCTCCAGTCATCTTTCACACATTACAATCAATCCTCGCGGTGGGTAATGCAATGCGTCGAACACTCTTTCAACTGTCACCTCCATTTACCGAGCGCCTGTGACGTGCGCATGGGGCCACTACCGCTTTCGGTAGGTTGAAAGACGTCAGGAGAGCAGGTCTCCAGTCATCTTTCACACATTACAATCAATCCTCGTGGAGGGTAATGCAATGCGTCGAACACTCTTTCAACTGTCACCTCCATAGCCGAGAAGCATAACCGACCACTCGCTTCCAAGTGACTGCAGAATAATCTCTGGCCGCGTACGTCTAAACGATGGAAAAATCTCACCAAATATGATCGTTTGGAGGACGGCTCAGGGCTCCCGAATAATATGGGTCGGCTGAAAATGCCAACTCCCCTTCTCACATCACACCGCCGGCAATCAGCCTATCCCCGATAGAGAGCTAGGTCCCATCCAATGGCGGTCCAGATCCACGTGGAGAGGCATTTTCACTGCATAGAGCAATCTACCTCAAATTTCAAATAGGCTAGTCCGCATATTTGGGGCGCCGCCTGAACTTTTTCATCTTCTGCGCGCGTGTTGTGCAGTTGCGCCGTGCACTGCCTAAGGGTCGGCGTAAGACCAACGCTCCATGTTAAAGGGTGATGTGCAGCTAAGCGGGGTGATCTTTCTGCGTTTGGAAACCACCGAAAGGGCGGGAGTGGAGCATGCTCGTTCCTTGATGCTGTCTTTGGCGATAGGGGTACGAAGATCCTTAGCAATCGCGCGCATCAGACCAATTCGCCTCCGCCCGATCCACCTTAATCGACTTCCAAAAAGGCTTCTCTCTGTGAGGGCGCCCGGCTAGGCACGCCATGCACCGGCAAGTTTCGGTCGCTGAGGCCACGCCCAAGGTAGCGCCATGTTCCTGGCACATACATATAAAAAATCCTGTCCTTTCTCTCAAAACTCTCCGCCCCCCTCGGTGTACATTATGGCTCCCGATTGTTCAAAATCTGACCCCCCTGCTTTAAAAACAATTTTTTCTTGCGTGCTGGCCTTATTGTGAGCCCTTATGTTGGTCGCACGCCTGCTATCTGACATTGTCTGGAGCTCGTGGTCGAAGCTGGCCTATTGTCCTTCATTCTTCCGCTTTCACTTCTCAGTTATTCTCTGGTGAGTCCTTGACAATTGTACCCACTCAGGCACATCAGTTACCGTTTTTTTATGACTCCCAATAGATACAAACATACAAAAAGTATCGTAGAAGGAACGACACACCAACATCCAACGTTGAACCAGGTCTCCAGCCTATATCAGTTTTGTTTCTGTGCAGTGTTTTTGCGGACATGCTGTAAGTCCCGTATGAACAAGGTCACTTATCACTCATCGGACGTTCTGCAGCTGCGGACTAGGGCATGTTCTGTCCATCAGGTGGGTGCTCGAAGGCGAAGTTACCTCGGGCCCATATTGTACAGGACAGTCGGTTTTAATGCAGATCGGGAATAATGGCGTCGGTATGTCGACCTATACTTCATTAAACGCCAATGTCTAAGAAACCCACCGGTCACTAGCTTGGTTTACCACAGCAATTGCGGTATTGACATACCTTCAGGTCGTTCACCGGGACTTCTTAGGCAAAAACGGAGCAAGGGTTTTTGTAGTGGGATGCATTTGCTTTACAATCGTATTCGCCACGTTGGTCGTTGCGATTCCTGCTTCGATCAACCATCCATATTATGGCAACGCTGGGTGAGGATTGTACGTGTAATCACACATATTTAATTTAACCCCACATCTCAGGTTGTGGTGTTGGATCTCTGGCACAAATGCTAGCCGCCAGAGGTTGCGGTTCGGTAAGTTTAGAATACCTTGGCTGCCGCGATTGCTCCGTGGAACTGAATCTGGAATGCAGCTTCACAATTTGTGTGGATCTGGGTTGCGATAACGGTTTCGATCGCCGCATATGGTTGGGTAGCATACAAGTGGCTACGTCAGGCGCCTTTTCGTGCTTACTATGACCTTAGGCGAGCTGCGATTGCGATGGGATGGTATCCTATTAGTGGGTGCAATAATCACATACACCCAACCCCCTGGCTTCATCTCTTCTGTTTCAGCTTATCTTATCGTCGCTACTCCTACGTCTGTGGCTCGTTTCCGTCAGTTCCATGGCTATAAGCCAACCCTGGCATGCGGATCTTCCCCTATGCCCTTGCTGCCTCACATGGGGCCATCAACGTCATTCTATTCCTTTCGACTGGCAGGCGTTTCGGATTCTCGCCTAAGAAAAGTCATGTTTCT